CATGAGTGAGAAAGTACTGGGACATCTTCCTTACGTGGACCTGAACATTTGAGTACAAAAAATAATTTCTTACGTGGTACTGTTTTCTTTTATATTAATTTTTTTTGGTGTAGGTAAGCTGAAGTTTCCACATGATTTGTCGTAAAATTGTAATATTTTATTTATATGTAAAAAAGCAAGATTCTGATTAGTGTCCATAAAATTTTTTATTGAATGATTTCTTATGCTCTTCAAATATTGATGATCTCTTTGGATATTTTTTTAAATGACAAAGAAGGCAAAAAATTGTCGTAACTGATATAATAACATTACAATACGAGTTTCCTTAAAAATGTGATCTATTTAGCTATCGTGTTTGATTAAGCCTGTAGCTATTGCAGTATCTTTTAAAGCTGGATGTATTATCTTATGAACTGTTGTCAGATACCTCAATGATGTTGCTTCGTTTACTTTATAAAGTGTTAATTCAAAAAAAAAATCTTCCTATTGGTTTATTGACTTTCAAATTTTTTTATTTTTACTTGGCTTTGAGTTAGTTACTAAAAATATAGATTTTTGGAACGTTAACATACTTAAATGATTCCACGAAATCGTCAATTTTGTTTAGTTCTAACAATGCTGTTAACAGTGTTCGTCGTTTTTCTATTATTTTTTCGATTTTGTTTTTTTCAAAAACGAGTTTTTGTTTATTTTTTTAAGTGAATAGGCAAATTAAATATTTTATGACTTTTACCACAAATTGGAAATTTTTTGTAATCTTCAGGCAGTTTTCATTAGACATGAATAACTACTGTTAACATTATTTAAAATTTCATCTCAAATTTCTTTATACTTATCAGTAACATTCTTTATTTCTACCAATGCTCTATCATTACCACCGTGAATGTAGTCATAAATGTACTTAATACTTTGTATAGAAGCACACAATTGAACTTTAATATAGCATTCACATTTTGTCAACAAAAATTGATTTTATGGCACAACCACTGAATTGTCAACTAGAAATACGTTTTTATTTTTGTTTTGTAAAAATGATTTTTGCGAATTTTATTTCTTTGTTTGTATTCAAGATAATTGTTTTTTTTTTAAGTTGTTGAATCAGTGAAATATTATAAAAATTTTTTACACATTTTTGTTTGTTTTATTTGTGCGAAAAATTTTATTATTATGTGGACCGTAAAGCATATGTTAAATTATTAATTTTATAAGTTTTTTGTTATTCGAAATGATCTAAGCAGATATTATAGCATCTATGTTTTCAGCTGTCATTATTTTATTATTAGGATGTAATGATATGAGAAAATGTACATCGGTAGTCCACGTTTTTAGAATGCTTTTGTGTAAATTTAAGCTGAAACTTTACCAAAAATATTGTTACGCATTATGTCGTCTAAAAATAATTTTAATTTTGTGTGGAATAGCCGACTAATATATTTCATACATCCTTAACAATTTTTTTTTTTTGGAGAATTAGCCAGAAGAACCCTTTTCAAGTCTTTAAGTTGAAGATTGCACGTTGTTGTTATAAACAAAATCCGGCCCAGCACACTTTTTGATTATAGTTACAGCNACCAATTGGAGAATTTTCAGACTATATATACATATATATATATTTCTTTATTTTCAAAACTGTCTAATATATTTGCTGCACAATTTTTTTAACGCTATATAACAATTAATTCTTAAGTTTTTAAAAACTATTATCGCTTAAATAGTTTCGCCCAGTATTTTTAATAACCTTGTATTTATGTATAAAAAATTGTGTAGTGAATCTTGCAGCATATAATGGAAGACCAAAATGTTCAACATTTGGTCTCTACAATAATCTATATGAATAATAATTTAACATAATGAGATTAATATTATCATTACTATTATCTAAACAATGTTTAGAGTGACAAGAATTTCTTCTGGATTATCCGACAGAATCATTAATAGAAAAACCATTAGATTAAAAAAATGGGACAGTTTGTAGGATACACACACTATAAGGTCACAAGTATATTTTAATTGATATCTCGTTTAAAATATTAAAATGTACCACCCAATTGGAGCTATCGTGAATTTTAATCTTCTTAACAGTAAGAAATTTAAAAGCACCTTAATACTCAAACGTTAGACATGGAGGAACACATTATACTAAAGCTCATAACTATTATATCTGAGCCGCCTAATCAAAGCCGCTGACGCCGCTTCTTATGAGGGTATAAAAGGCCCATACCAGCCCACGTTAATCACTTTTACCACCAGCTACGAGTCCTGCACTATAGATGTTATACCTTTACATATCGCAATAAATGGCAAAATTAAACTTTAATATTTGACTACTACTTTTTACATTACACCTTTCATATTATATATTCTTGTGGCCAAACGAGTGACAAAGAGGCTATTGCACTTTCCTAGTACTTGACTATCTAACAGTCAATATATTTTTAATATTAATTTAAAATTTTTGTTTACTTACTTTTTTTTGAAATTTTCTAATATGCCGTGTAAGAAAATCTTTTCATAAAATTTTTTTGCCACATTCGTTATAAATATTATCATTATCTGAAATATGCATCTTTATGTAATGTCGTAAATGTGTGAGTCATTAAAATTTTTTTTGATAACTAATACAACTAATAATTTTACCAGTCCCCTGTTTTTTTTTTAGGCGCGTATAATGACTTTTTAACTTAATAATGATGATACAAATAATACATTGAAAATATTGATTTAAATGTGTTTTTTATGCATTCTGAGTCCTTCTCAATCACCAAAAACGTAAGTGCAAAATTGACACTTAGGTAAATGCTTCTTCCTGATAAATAAAAACATACAACTTTTAAAATATATTGTTTCTGTAGGCTACGAATTTGAGTTAAAAATGAATGGCCACATTGTGTAAAGCTCAGGCCAGAGGGTGTCAGGACCCGATAGTCCTTAGATGAGTTTGTATTAGTAAGTATGTGAAGAGGATCGTGCATGAATACTATATTCACGACGATGAAAAGGGTTCTCACATACAATTACTTATTCTATAAAAGGACATGAAATCTACGTTTGTTTATTAATTGTCAGTTATCACTTGTAGTACAACTAGGTTTTTATTTCTGCATTGCTGTTGTTGAGATGTTGCTATTGTGTTTTAATTATTCTAGTTTACTTCCAATTATAATCATCCAATAAGTAATTGCCCATCGGCTAATTATTAGAAATTCTGTTATTACGAATTGAATATTAATAGTTATTGTGACTTAGTTTAGCACTCATGATATAGCACTGTAATAGTTTTTTAATTTAATAAATATTATTTAAAAAGAGAAATATAGTATAAAAAGAGAATGTATGTTAACTCAGTAAGAATCATTCTTTATACTGATTGGTGGGGGGTCTGTGGGGTGTCAGTGAGGTTTAATAAAAATGGTATGGGGGTTAGTGTGGGGATTAAAATAATGGATAAGCCAAGTGATTTTTACCTTGTGCTGTGGGTGTCTTATTTTGATTGACCAATTAGAAACGCTTCCATCGTACTGCCATGTCTGTCTGCGAATTTCAAAAGCTTTTAAAATATAAAGCATTTAAACATGAAAAAAAAGATATGGTATTTTAAAGTTTTTTATTTTATTGATAAATTCTATTCAATTCTTAATGCTTAAAGTAGGTTTAAAACTAGTGTTGTATGTGATAAATTCGTTTAATTTTTTTGATAATTTGTATGATAGTGAACTGTTAAATGATACTACTGGTCTTATAGGCATATTATTTTTATGTAGTATTATTAATGAGTATAATTTTGGTATTTGCGGATTCATTTGAGTAATTTTATAGTATGTGAAGGATGATAAGATAGTGGAGGTTTTTTTTTTCAATTTATAACTTCTTTTCGGAAATGATTGATGTGATCATTTTCCAATTTGTTATAATTACCGGATTTTATAAAATCACGTGCTTTTGAAATGTATCGACGTCTATCTGTTGTTATAATGGTTCACACAACAAATGAATGACTGTAATCATCCTTATAGTGATAATTTCAAGACTTTGCATACATGTGAGAAGGGTAAAAAGTTAGAGTTTTTAGAAGCATTAGAAATTAATAAATTGAAAAATTCAAACGTACCACTGAATGATATGCTACACCTGAGTACCTCGCCTTCACTAAATTTAGAATTAAGATAATATATGTTATTTGACTATGTACGATTTGTATGTATTGTCCATTGTTGTAAAACCAAAACATACGTGCAAAAATTAACTTTATAACATTCTTTCATCCGACAAATGTTTGTTTTCAATCGTAGTATAACTTTGAAAAACAATTATTCTAATACTTTTTACGTATCTATGGTTAAAATGCTTATAAACAAATTACTTAAATCGTTTTTATTTCAAAATGTAACTGCAAAGTGATAAAGTATTTTGTCTTAATGTTATCTGGAAGTTCTACCACAACTGATTCCAGTTACTATCAGAGCTTTAAAATGAGTGGTGTTAGAGCTGTATATATCAATACAAATAAGTGAAGATTAAAGTTATGAGCCAAACTATAAGCAAAAAGTTTGGTAAACTACTGTTTCGCAATTTTTTTGCACTATATTCGCAATATTTCAGGCTCAAATCAAAATGAAAAAAAAAAAGTTTTTGATTGAGCAAATTTTTTATAAGTTAATTTATCAACTTTTTTAGATAACTTGTTGTAAAATTTCTTACCGTTCTTTATAGCGCTATCAATATTTGACGTATTAATAACAATTTCTTAAACAACTACACGAAAAAACGAGTTTTAGACTCAGATTTTGCGAACAACAATGTATCGAAATCGCTTACTTCTTCTCGTCGAAGTCATTAGTTCATGAAAATCTGATTATCTAACGTTCTAATTACTGTGACTTTCCAAATCAGCTTACTTAGACAATATGATGTCAAAAATTTTTATGTTAGCTTGTAAAGTAACAGTGAGGTATTTGTATGTTACTGGCGTACTTACATTCCTTGTACATTTATGTTAACAGGCGCTGTTATTAAATGAATACAACTCATTGCAGCAAAAAGATTTATGTACCATGTGTGTAGGCATACTTCAGTTCAATAATATAAGGTCATCTCTGAAGAAGGTAAATAATTTATGAATAACTTAATATTCATGTATGTAAATCAACTTTTTTTTTTAGATAAAAATTCAATTAAATAAATTTTACTACGATTCTACTAGTGTCAATTACACATTAAACGTTCCTACTTCTATTTATATTAGAGAACGATCAATTAGTGAATATTTATGTCTTCAGATGAATTTTTCAAGTTTTAATTACAACATGCATCCGAAAATTCAGAGCTTAAAAGACACTTGGAAATATTTAATAAATTTGGAAGTCACATGGATGAGCAGCCTATTCAAAAAAGTTACAAGTTTGCGATCATCTGTCAGGCTTGATGTATTTTATTTTTACATTGATGATCAAGATGAGTGTTTAACATTGTATGTAAGCCAGTTAACATATATTCATATTAACAGTTTAACATATACTTTACGAACTACTCTTCTTCCCGGCTAAAAATCGATCATATCACGTTAATTATTACGTGATAAATAGCGTGATTTTTGCACATCACGTGATTATTTGCGTGATTTATAACGTGATTTTTTACAATTCTATAACGTCACGTCATAAATAAAATGATTTTTTTTGGCTGGTTTAGTTTGTTCATACACTATTTTTTTTGGAAATGACATATTAGTCTTGTAAGTTGGGACTTATTCCTATCCCTCCTTAACCAAACGAGCGTTTATAATTGCACTGTAAACATCGTTTAGGTAACCAGCTGATTTGAGCAAGTTTCAAAGCATTTTGTAGCAGTTTTTTGGGCCTTTGTTCATTACCAATTTTCTAAATCAACTTATTAATCAAACAATGATTATAGTGCGTGAGCACATACTTGGTCAGTTGAGTAGATGCATCAACTAATAAACTAACTAAATTATCATTTCCGAATAGAATTCTTTTATCAAATTTTAAAAAATTGAAACACAAATAAGTATCAGGTTTGCCTTAATCGTAAGATAACATACTTAAATCATAAAGCTTAGGATTCTTTTCTGTACGTATTCTAATCAAGGTCATGTAGTAAAAATATTTTTCTTGTCAAAATTACAGAATGATTCGAGAATGGTGTTGACTCAGTAGTAAGTATGCTTGTCATTAAAGCAACACCGTTCTCGAGGTCAAGGGTTCAATTTCCTGTGAATGCAGTTTAAAAAAAAAATTTCTTAAAGTTTTTTATTAACCCTGTTTATTTTAGAGTAGGATTTTCACTGAAATTTTTTTCAGTGTGATTTTAGACTATTCCAAACCCCACTGATCATAGGGCATTAGGGCTTAGGTAAGGAGCTGATGTCTTACTAGTGAGAAATGATTCCTGAAAAAGAAGGCCCCCTTATTGATATGCTAATTACCTGTATTTGATACTTTGTCAGAGAGAACTGGCTTAACCAGCGAGAAGTTGACGTCCTCAAATATAGAGTTTCCTCCGGGAACTGGCTGCACAGTGGAGAGTGGACCCGATGCATCATTTGATGCAGAGACTGTCATTCTAACTGGCAAGATGTGACTGTACAGTAATGAGTCTCGCCAAAGAAATTATCACTGTGCCCATAGATAGGTATAGTATCAGTCAGGTGATCGGTGATAATGATATGATAAAAGTAAAAATGCATCCCTCACACAGTGGTAGTACTAAGTAGCATTGATGACAAAGCTAGTAGGCTGTTGCAGTAACCTGGAAGAAAAAAGAAGTTACATGACAATTTTATTCTTGTAATCCCTGCTTGTTTTTCATATCGTTTGTCTTCGTTGACCTCATTGTTTGAGTCTATTAAAATATTTTTGTTTCAAGCATTGCATGCTTATACTCGTATTCCATCTCTTAAACCTGTGACACTTCCTCTCCGTAAGCAAGGACCCTACTTGTGGGCCTCTTTACAGTTTTTTTGCCTCCCGCTTACGTGCCTCTGCTATAATTTTACTATACTTTCTTTTTTGCGTCTTTTTCTCTTTACAGCTTTTGTTACGTCTGACATCCTTTTACTTATTCTGACGTCTTATAAATTTACTTAGTTTGACAATAGATAACAAAAATAATCTTCCTAACATTATCATTTTTCTTTTGAACTCTTGCTTCTTATTGTATAAACTCTCAAAAAAATACTGACTATAATTTAGAGCCTTGTAGCTCTACTTTCAAAGATTGTTGTCACTTAACTTTTATTAAGTATAAATGTTATTAGGTAATTACTTATATACATCGATTATTTGAAGATTCGTTAAATCAGTTATGTGTTATTGATTTATAGTTTTATTTTACAGCCACAAAGGTAAGCTAACTATACATTCTAATGGTTATTTTTTGATACTTTTTAAGTAAAGATCCTTTTAAATTTCTTTACTTCAAGATTCTAAATGGCTTTTACTGGACAAAGATTCGGTTTTTATTGGATGCCTTCATTTTTCAAGGATTGTCATGTATTCTAATTTTAGTAAAAGTAAAGAAATCTTCCATTAATGTCGTGTATATGTCTTTAGACTTAGCATAGAACTATCGTAAGAGTTGCTAAAATCTCATTATAACTTTTTTTATTAAGATTATGAAAAAAACTACTCGTAAATAGAGTTGTGTTACTTTCTTATTGTTAGTAATTTTTTGAAGCTCTAAATAATTAACATGAATAAAATGGTACATTACATAACTATGTCCCAAATTATAAACATGAGCACCTGAAAGGCGTGGTTGTTGTATGTTGATGCCCGAGTTGAATATAATGTTTTTCTGAGCGACGGCGAAAAGTATAGTACTGTGCCCAGTAAATCACTTCGGGCCCGGAGGGAGCTAAAAACTTTTCTGACCGTTGACCCGAAGTGATTACTCAAGCAGAAAGTTTAACCCAAGAGTGCAAAGGGGCAGGTAAGAAAGAAATCAACGTTTTTATTATACTTCAAGCAAAAATCTGTAAAACTAAAATTTGTGGTAGACGAAAAATATTATCACAAAGTTTTAAATCGCTATAAAAAGATTTCTCAAAATTTGGTAAACTATTTTTTTACATAGTTGTTTTTTGAAGTTATTTTTTACCAAGTGTACAGAAGTGGTTTTTTAAAAGGTAATTGTATTCTAAAAATTAGTTTATTTCATAAAATTCTTTCTTAATAAACTGAATTTCTTCACCCAGGTGTATAGTTAGATTTCAACTGTACAGGAAGCTACGTGCTGTTAAAAAGTTATTACCATACGTAACTAAACAATATTCGGTTATACATGAAAATTGACATAATAATTGTTTAAAAATAGTGCACAATTACTAAACAAGCTAATAGAATAACTTATGATTCAGGCAGTAAAGCTTTTAAAGATGTTTTGGCTTGATAAACGGAGTTTTAGTTGGAATTGATTGGCAGTGAAATCCCCAAAAACATCTAGGAGTTGCCCAAACATGAAATCAGCGGGAAAATTTATGGAAGCATAAAAACTGTAAAACTCCTAAAAAATTCCCTGTTTCTTATCTTTCTTGATAAATATCTCTTAACGAGAGCTTTTAGGTCAAAAGTTGATGCAATACTCTCTGTTCACTATTAAATTTTCCTGAAAATAGGTCGATTTTTATTTTTTTAATTTATATTTTTGTATTAACAATTAGCTGAAAACTGCGAAAAAATGTAACGTCACTTAAAGCTATTCCAAAGTAAAGAAAAAAAAAACTTTTTCTTCATAAAATTCTAGATTTAAGTATCTGATCATCGTTGGTCGAGTAGTTTTTGCATTATCTATTTTGCAATTAAATAAATTTTAAAAATTACATTTGTTCTAGCGTAAAAAAAATGTTTTATACGGCTCCTGTTTTTTTAACGTATCCTCTAAGACCGACTTTTCAATATCCCATCAGAATATTGTTGGTTTTTAATTTTGTACGTGGTTTTTAATTTCGCTTGCGAAAACGCCTTACATATAAAATAGCATAACTCCGTCATTTTTATACATAATTAATGAAAGTGGATAAACTTACAGAAAGAACCTCACCTAATAATGAGAACATATAATATCTTTATTATATACCTCATGCAATACTGATAATGATATCGTTAACTTTACTCTTATTTATTTATTTATCTTCTTCCTAACAAATTAAAAGTAACTAGGTTTTTAACTGTTTAAATATTGTGTTCACATTGCTTGTGGCCCAAGTAAGCCACAATTTTTTGGACCTTTCTTACTGCATCTGCAGGAAAAAAATTTTCACTTCGACTTTTTCTTAGTTTTTTTATTTTTATTTTATTTTGTTTTTTTTTTTCAACGAGTGGTATAGGCCCTTACAGAGTCTTAGTATAATAGTCAAAGTGGCGCTGTTTATAAACATTCGACTTCATTCTTACATTTATGTCGTGTTCTTATCTGTATTAACATGGTTTGAAATAAATGTTAACGACTGGTGGGCTATTTTCGTAATTATAATACAGTTTTTATATATGATACAAGTGCATAAACTAAGTTGAATTTTTATTTGGTGCGTCACAATATAGATTTTCCGATTAATTTATAGCTTATGAAGAGCCCATGATGCTATTTAGTAACGTTTTGCATCTTCGTTCAATGTTAGACCATAGACTAAGATAGTGACTTTTATAAATGTGAAAGTGCAAATAAACATGAATAGATTGTGTGCTAACGAAAATTGTATTAACATAATTATTTTGCTATCATTAAATAATAGGTGGCATATGGCCTTCCTGAGTAAAGAACATGCTTGATATTATTTTATTTTGAAATTTTATTTGTTTGTCGTATGATTAAATACAATGCCGTTACGTATTCCAAGATTTCATGGTAAAATGAATGAATAACCATGTTAATTATTGATCAGTGAATGTTTAATAGCTTATGCTCTAGTAGGATACTGGTCACTTGCAAGTGACCTTTATTCTGTGCGTGATCGAATCAGAGAGACAGAGGGAGAAAGATAACGTGTGTACATGTAGTTAGTATGGAGAGGGAAGCGGGGAGCGTCAGATCCTCCATCACGTAAGTCGTGTATACTCGTAAGCATTGAGTATATCTAAGCGTTGTTCATTGTGCTGCCACGTCTCATGCACCCTTAGTAGGCTGTAACATCGGTGTATCCACATTAATTTTTTTTCCTTTGCTTAAAAACTTTCCGTGCCGATTTTAGAATCCAAAACGCAGGGGCCAATGTACATCTGCAAAGAGGTGAATTACCTACAAGATTGCTCGTAGCTAAGGTATTACGACCATGCATGACTCACATACATGCACGCTGGTCCATGCTGACTAGAAAAGAAATCAAACGAAATACTTTTTAAACCGTAATATAATAAAGTAACTTTAAGGAACTAACAGATGCAAAAGGTTAACGGGGAGCAGCTGTGCTGAGGTTTAATATTAGATATTAGTATATATAAATCGAGTTTAATG